ACCGGCACTGACCGACCTGTGCCCGGCCCTGACCGTCCGGCCCCGACCGCCCGGCACTGAGCGCCCCGTGCCCGGCCCCGACCGCCCAGCCCCGCTCCGGACCCTCCGGCCCCTCCCGAGCACGCAGCAGGACACCCAGACAAGGTAAGGGTGCGGGGCTGGCTCCCGATCCTGCCCGCTGCGCCTTTGGCTTCCCCGCGCTGTGTCTGTCCCGTCCCCTCCTGTCCCCTCCCGTCCCTGCCGTGTCCCCGTGTCCCTCCGTGCCCSGGCAGAGCCCCGCACAGGTCGCCCGTCCGCCGGCAGAGCCCCCCGGCCGAGAGGGGCAGGCCCGGGCATGTTCCGGGAGGCTCCGCCCGCGCACCCCGCCGTGCCCCGCACACCCCCGGCTGTCCCGAGAGTGTCCCGGGGCTGTCCCGAGAGTGTCCCGGGGCTGTCCCGGGGCGCTCCGTGCGTGTGCCCGGCCTGCCGCGCCTTGACTCTAGAGTTTGCGAGGTTTTGGGTGAGTTTGCCCCGGTTTCGCTGACTGATCGCTGGCGTTGTTTCTCTTGGCAGATGATCGATGCGGTGGCGAGCGGCGAGGCGCGGGACGTGCTGCTGCTGCGGCTCCCCGCGCTGCTGGAGCAGGAGCTGCGGGCTCAGCCCCGCGCCGCCGGCCTCCGCCTGCTCGAGGCTGCCCACGACAACGGCCTGCGAATGACCGCCCGCCTCAGGGACTTCGAGGTGAAGGATCTCCTCAGCTTAACTCAGTTCTTCGGCTTCCACACTGAGACCTTCTCGCTAGCTGTGAATTTCTTAGATAGGTTCTTGTCAAAAATGAAGGTAAGGCTTTTTRAAGTGTAAGCTCTCAGCCTACTAATCGAAGTTAAAACGTCTTGCGTTTAGGTAAAAGATTAAGCTCCTTCCGGAGCAGAGATTATGATTGCACAGAGCTAAAAAATTGTATTCTCCGTTTCAATTTGAGTATTTTTAAAGTGTTTTCTCTGGAGAAGGAAGAACTAAAGGGTTCCTACGAGCTGGGAAACACAGGACCTGTTAATGGGTTAGACCAAGACAGACTGCCTGTCCTGTGGCATGGATACAAGAAAAAACTTTAATTAGTTCTTTTTTAACTGCCTTTTCAACCTACCAACAAGCCTCATGTATACTAAAATGGTGTTGAATACTAAAAATCTGATGAAACATGAGTTAGCACTCCATCCTCCTGTGCAGATGTGACATGCTGACCTGGGTTGTTTTTAATTGTCTAACAAGACAGGATTACCACTGTACAGTTTGSACAAGAACAAAAGCTTGTTTTCCTTGTGTGTTAAAACAAAAATGAGAAAGCTAGATAAAATGGATGGGAAAATGATTATTTGAAAGAACTTCTGAATCCAGAAYAAGCAGTAAAAAGGAGGACTGCATTATCTATGGACTAAAATAATTTTTATATACGTGTGTATATATATATTTTTTTTTTAAGTTAGAAAACCCCAAATTTTTACTATCACCCAATATGTACAACACTTTAAATCCTGAAATCTTCCCATTAGGCTATTTTGGAGCTTTATTAAGAAACCAGTTCTACCTCAATAAAAATTGCTCAGCAGTCTTGCTTTTTAAATGAATGAGACAGAATTTGTAGTGTGTAACCATCTTCTTGTTTGGTTAAATAAAGATAAGAATGCATAATGAAGGACTTAGTTTTTAATCTCCAAAAAACAGAACAACCCCCTGTCCCGSATGTGTTCCTGAAATAGATTGGTGCCTACAGTTTGATACTTACATGTTGTAGAAGCTAATCCAAGGCCTTTTTCTTTGAAAATGACGATTCATTTTTCTTTAGGTACAGCCTAAACACTTGGGATGTGTTGGACTCAGCTGCTTCTACTTGGCTGTGAAAGCATCAGAGGAAGAGAGAAATGTGCCCTTAGCCACTGACTTAATTCGAATAAGCCAGTATAGGTTCACTGTTTCTGATATGATGAGAATGGAGAAAATCGTATTGGAGAAACTGGGCTGGAAAATCAGAGCTACAACAGCCTTCCAATTTCTACAGCTCTATCATTCATTYATTCATGAGAATTTAAGCTGTGAAAGGTACAATAACTAATACTGATTTTGCTATAACTGCTTAYGATCAGGCATTATAGAATGTAGAAAAATAAGTCAGGAAATTGCTTGAGTAACAGGCCTTTCTATAGTTTAAAAATCCCACAAACTTTCCTCCTTACTGGTAATTATCATAAATGTGAGCATCTGTGGTTTATTATTTTAATTTTAAATATTGTTTGCATAAATWGAGTATTGCTCTCTGAGCTGAAAACCAAACTTGCTCAATAATGACAGTATAATGAATCTCTGCTTATGCTGCAGTAAAGTGTTGCCTCATTGTAAGGATTACAAAATCTGGCCTAAAAAAGATTCCTTTTGTTAGTAAGCACTGAAATTCCTTGATATTAARCCTGCGTTGATAATGCAACTCTCCCCAGTGTAACACAAGATTTATTTTTGGCATTGGGAGTGCCAAAACTGAACACCTGTTTGACTGTAACCCTAGAACTTCTGGGACAAATGAGGCTTTTGTTTAGATAATGAACATTCTTGCTGCATCTCTTGAGTTCCCAGGGTAATGCTGCCTTGATCAAKCTTGCATTCTTCTAGATTCACTCATCTGTTTTTATTACAGGAGAAAATACCTCAATTTTGAGAGACTTGAGAGCCAGCTTAAGGCCTGTCACTGCAGAATCATGTTTTCCAAAGCCAAGGTAAACATCTTTAAAGTTCAAAGGAAATTAAATTACTGGAATTTAACAAACCAGTGTTTAAAAACATTTTCTCTCTCTCCAGCCTTCTGTCTTGGCACTGTCTATTATGGCACTAGAGATAGAAGAACAAAAACTGCTGGAGTTGACGGAGGCTTTGGAATTTCTGCAGTTACATTCCAAGGTATGTGTAGATAAAATTTCAGGGGAGGACAGAAGAAAAAGGCATGCAAAGTTGTACACAATGGGGAAGGGACAGGTGCATTGGCATACTGGCTTCTTTTGTGGCTTTCTTGTGATGTTTTTTTGGGGTTTTTTCATTTGGCCTGGGATACCTGTCTGCCTGATTTGTTAAAGAAGCTGAAAATACATGTATGAAGTTAAGATTTAACTAGTTATTAACACATGACATTCTGTCTTGTTACGTAGATAAACAACAAAGAATTGACCTTCTGGAAGGAGCTGGTGTTAAAGTGCCTTACAGAATATTCTTCAAGCAAGTGTTCCAAACCCAATGTGCAGAAATTAAAATGGATTGTGTCTGGACGGACAGCACGGCAGCTTAAACATAGCTACTACAGAATAACACACCTTCCTACCATTCCAGAGACCAGCTCATAATAGGTAACTCCTTGAAAAATCAACTTCTGACCTTGTAAAATCAACTTCTGATAACTTAGAAGTAAAGTTAGCTGTTAACTAGCTCCAGGCTCCTTATAGGTTATCCCTGGAATCACATAACGAAATGTAAAGGGCCTGTCTTAGAGGCAGGTCTGTTCTCATATTCATGCCTAAGCCAGTGCTGTACCTAAAGAAGTGACAACCCAATTCATGCAGGAATGCTGGAGAAAGAACTGATCCTTTGGTGTGCTGTGGGAGCAAACATATTGTCCCACAGACATTGGGACCTCATTCACACTAATATGTAAAGATAGGAAAAAGTCAGAGAAAAAAATCTTGCCTTGCTCCTATCCCAAAAAGAAAAGCAGGTTGTTAGAATGAGTTTCTTGTACTTGTTCTTGTAAGCTACTGACAAGTTTTATACAGTTTTACCTGCCTGTATACTGTTTTGTGAAGTCTAAAATCTGTAATTCAGGTACAATCTAATCTGTAATTCAGTTATTCTTGTTACTTGTGTACTTATTCTTGTTGTGTTGTCTGTAAAAACTATGAACTACTTCCTTATCTAGACTTAATTCCAGAGGTTACACATTTTCCTGTAACAGCTGTCTTCTGTTTTGCTATATTATGATCTCATACTTTGTTTGGCTCTTGAGAAAGGTCTCCAGTTGACTGATTTGTTTTGGTTTTTTTACAGGAGTACAATAAAATGAGGAGAAAACTATCCTGTGAGCTTGTCAACAGGCACACAAAAATATTTGAGAAACAGTCTGAAGTGTGACCTTAATAATGAAGAACTCAACTCGTGGAAAGAACATGTAACATTTCAGACTAAAGATCCTTCCAGTAAAAACCAGTTCTTTTCATGGTGATTACAACAACATGTGGTGTCAGTTTTCAGTCTTACTTGGTAGACTGTTTACTAGTCAGTGAAATGCCACAATCCCAATACAAGCAATTTTAACACCTTTGTTTGTTTTAACAGTTTGTAAAGCAGCTTGTGTCATTTAACATTGGTTTACAGTAACGGCAGGTGCTGAATTAGATACTAATGTTTAGTAGTGAACTCTTGGTTCACTTTCTGAGGATTATGTGATACTAGGAAAATCTGATGTGCAGTAATGCAGTGCTGCAGTGTGTTCAGAAATGAAGACTAATCCCACTCAATATTGATGACAACAGCAAATACCTGCTAGCTCACCTGGTGTGCTGTTTGGGCAGTGCCTTGGATCCCTGTGTTCCTGCCAGGATGACACTGGCCTCGTGCCACAGACACATTTAACATCAGCCTATGTGATACCCCCTGAACGTGTGGAGTAGGCAGAGCAGGAGGAAAGAGACTTCACTATGTTTATTAGAAAAGACAGTCACTAACAGTATCAGAAGCTGCAATATTTTGTCAGAGCTGTAGTTACCTCATGGAGTGCAAAAACTTGGTGATACCTAATGAAGACTAAAGCAAAGAACTAGGTTACATGCCCTGAATCTGACATTTGTTTTCCAGTGTTTTGCTGTACTGGAGGTAAATGTTGATGCTGAACAGGCACATTGTTATAGGTATGGCAGGAGCAGGGCTAGTTGCCCATCTTTGTGTGCAGGAGCAATCTAATTGAAGATTGCTTCAACTCTGATCTCTTTAATGATTATTTGAAACATGATTCTAGTGCTAACAAAGAAGTGAATAAGAATGTATTATTGTATGTTAGATGAAAAGAGGTTCTGGGAGTGTTGCTAATGTCCTCTTGAATTCTGCATCACTGTGGGACATAGACGGTTGGCAATAGGCTGTTAAACCTGACTGTTGTATGGACTGATGGATGGGAGAAGGAGGGATCAGAGTTTGGGATGAGGTGATAGCCCACTAACCCCTCCCTGTTATGGTGCCAGCTGAGGTGGAAACCATTCTTTGAATATCTCAAACTAGTTCAAGCTTTCACAGAAGCCTCCATACCAAAGCTCTGTACTGGACAAATCAAGTCTTCTCATGAGCTCATGGGAGTGATTGCACTACAAAATATGGAACTGGTTGTTGCACCTGCCAGTGCTGCCTGGGCATTGAGCTGGCCTGTGCTAAGTGATTCACAGGTGTGGTCAGTCTTCTGGGAGGGGATGCAATATTAAGATACGTACCTTTCAATTAAACGTTGAAATGTGCTTAACTGAGTAACTTTTTTCTTATTATAAAACATTTCAATAGGAAGCCTATAAAAGTGGCACCTAAACAGTACATGGAGGAAAATTTCCAAGCAGGTGGTAAAACATGGAGATTTTTTTTTCCCAGTTTATTTTTATAAGAGGTTAAGGCTGCAYGGGAGCAGCTAGACAATCACAGGAGAAAATGTTAAATATACTATCTGTTCTTCTGCAGTGATTCACAGAATGGGCCAGGCTGGACCCATGGGTGGGATCAGCTGGTCCYCCACCTCYCTGCTCAAGCAGGRTCATCCCAGAGCCCTCGGCACAGGATTTTGTCCAGACATTTCTTGATTAACCTCAGTAAGGCAGACTCCAAACACTCTCTGGGGAACCTGCTCCTGTGCACAGTCACTGCACAGGGAACAAGTTCTTCCTTATGTTCAGGTGGAACTTCCYGARGTCCCTTCTCAGCTGTGTTGCCCTTCAAGGCGGAACAGACCGTGCTCCCAAAGCCTTTCCTTGCAGAGAGTTGCACCAATCCCTTCCACAGCCTCTGCTGGACTTGCTCCAGGAGCTCCATGTCTCCCTTGTCCTGAGGAGCCCAGCTKGACACAGCCCTCCAGATYTGGCCTCACAAGGGCTGAGCACAGGGSTCACCTCCCTGACCTTTTGGCAATGTTCCTCCTGATTCACCCCAGGACACCRTTGGCCTTCTTGTCTCCYRRGGCACAGCTGGCTCAGGGACAGCTCACTGTCCACCATGACCCCCAGGTCCTGCTCCACAGAGCTGCTCTCCAGCAGATCAGCCCCAMCCWGTGCTGGTACAGGAGATTGCTTCCCAGGCAKATCAGCAAGAATAAGACATCCTTGCATAAAGACAAGTGRYAGATYTATAACTGACTCATKTAATGTGGTGTTTCTAAAAAGRAAAAAAAAMCACCCAAACTAAACATTCTGCTTAAACACATTACTTTTTTATGTACACATTTCTCTATAGTGTGTCCCTTAGTATTATAAAGTTATCACAGCTTATAAATCAGCTGGTAACATTTTGTCCTCATTGTGTTGGAAAAGATCTTCTTTCTCTTCACTGAAGTAATTATGACAACAATCCATTGAAGAGATCACKGAAGTCTTCAACAGTTACATGATTCCAGTCCTTAACTGTAACATGTAATTCCTCTAAAGGATCACATATGAAAAGTTTATTTTTCAAGACTAGAAAAATCTGGTCCTCCTTTGCTGTAGTTTCCAGAAATTTCTGCCCCACTGAAGTCAAATCCAGGGTTCTGATGGAGTGAAAATTACAAGTTGTTTAATGAATTTAGAATAAAAATGTCTTAAAAATCCTAGACAACCCACAAACAAAAGCTTAGCATGCTTTTTGTTAATATTCTGCCATTGTAACGAGAACATATAACAATCAACTTGTCACACATTCATCACARCACTGATATTGGAAAATGCATTACAAATTTTGAATTGTCATAGTTTGGTTGCCTACTCCTGAAGTGACTTTGTAATGCTGTTCTTGGCAAGCAGTCAGATCTCCCAGAAATAGAAATATTAAGAGTAAGTTTAAAAGATCTGGCTTTTTGTGTCYTTTGAAATTACCTTTTGAAAATCTAAGTACCTGGATATGTTATCCAGTATGCTGGATAACAAGGTTCATAAAAATGCAGCAATTTTCTGCTGCAGTACATAGCCTGCTGATTCAGCTGGTAAGTAAAAAGTTGTAATTGTACAGCTCTGCAGACATGCACAGGAACAGTTGTGTGCTAAAGGTATAGCAAAATAATTTAAGCAATATTAGTAAAAGTGCAAGGAACATCTTTTCCAGCTAACTATTCTATGCCATCTTACTTTTCAAACAAGTATATCCAGAACAGTTTGATGTTAAAATTTTATGGTAAAGATGGCTCTGTCATAATTATAGATAATAAAAATTGTAACCTAACAAGTGTAAGGATTATGCAATCAGTAATACAGCAATAGCACCACCAAACTCACATGAACTTTTCACAAACCTTTCAGAGTGCAGACAGAATAATCTGTTCAAWGCACAGTGATAAAACCTTGTAAGCATTTTACAGATATTAAACTAAAGCACTTATTTCCATGGCCTTTGCTCAGCTTTCCTGGCCATAACCTCTGTRTACAAAGACAAAATACACAGAGTAATTATGGTCCTTGAGCTTACCTCTCTTTGGAATCGCTCCAGCGTAAGTTTCCTTTGCATCTGGTCCTGTACCCAAGGATCAGCAGCATACTCATTTTCTAACAGAGATGTCCAACAATTTCCAGCATCTCTATTTGTTTTCATTAAAACAATTCGTATCAGCTGCCTGTCTTCTGTTGAATGAAAATACACAGAGCAACCTTTAAACTCAGTCCTGTGTGCTGGTTCTTCTCTTAGTCTGGTGGATGTCAATGGTGAATTGGCCATTAACAAGCACAGGACATGTGAAGTAATTTGCATTCTTAGTGCCAATGCCAGCCTGGTTCTTGATAAATCAACAGTAACAAGAAAAAAAAGTCTGAAGCAAAAATAGTACTGTCAYCTCTCCCCTTCTGGCATGACACTGCCAAGGATGTTTTAAGTGATTCAAACACAGTTCATAAGTACTTCTATTGCAGACATAAACTAAGCTCTGAGAGGTTCACAACAGAAAAGATTTAATCTATTGATATAGACACCTCTCCTAATGCAATCATGAAAAATTTGAGGTCAGGCTTTACAGAGAGCTAYGACCAACAAAAGCCAGAAGTTTTARYGACATAGGGATGATTCATTTATTTAAACACAATGTCCATTGTAACAGAGAATATATTGGAAGCACATTTCAAAGTAAACATGCAGAGTGTTTAGTTCTACTGAAGTGAATAAATACAGCATTACAAGGGTATTTTGAAGATTATTTGCACACTGAAAAGGACTGGGCTTCAAAATTTGTGTTAATACTTGTGTTATTACCTAAGGTCCAGGTTCCTTCATCAGTTACTGTAGAGTCAAAAAGTTTACCCTGCAAGAGACAGGTACAATGTTACAGATTARGAAAACCTCTTGAGTTGTGAAGTTTTACTCACAACTTAAACACCTTGTATTCTGCTGAAAATGAATAGGGTGATCTAGCCCTACAAGWATAGACCTGTATGCAGACTGTCAAACAAKGATTGCTTGTGAYGCAATTTTTTTTTWAAATGAAGCRTTTAATACCTGTCATTGTTTCAGTATCTGTAGYCATTAAAAAGGCTTGTGTTTTTCAGCAAGAAATGCCATTTTTAATAACCTTGTCATGTATGTGCAGGTGTTTTTGCCATGAGTAATATCTAGCTCTGGTGCAGGGTACAGRCAGTATAAGTAATTAGTTATAAATRTGAAAGTAAATCGGCCTTTAGTCTGGTTGTTTTTTCTTTTTGCTTTTGAAGTTGTACACTGAAATGCTATCCACACTAATATGCAAGTCCATGTCAATTTATCTTTATGTTTCACAGAATCACAGAATGGTTTGGGTTGGAAGGAACCTTAAAATTCATCTCATTCCAATCCCTGCCTTCCACTGGGAACACCTTCCACTATCCCAGGTTGCTCCAAGCCCCCTCCAGCTTGGCCTGGAACATTTCCAGAGATGGTGCATCCAAAGGGCCTCTKGACAACCTGTGCCAGTGACTCATCACCCTCACAGGGGAGAATTTCCTCCTAATATTCAATAYAACACCATCTTCTGACAGTTTAAAGCCCTTCCCCCRTGTCCCATCACTACATGGCCTTGTWAGAAACCCCTCTCCAGCTCTCTCTTCATGGAGAACAGGCACCATCTGTAAAGACTCGTGMAGTTGAAAAAAACTGTTGTCAAAGAATTGTCAAAGTCATTTCTAATGTATCAAACCTAGGATAAAGAAAGAGGCCCCACAGGGCACAGGTGTGCACACCTTCTCCCAGGGGAATAATGACAGCACACGARGACACAGCCTGAGCTGGGCCAGGWGAGGTTTGAGYTGGACATCAGSAAGAAATCTCCCAGAAAGTGTGATCAGACATTGGAAGGGGCTGCCCGAGGCGGTGGCGCAGTCACAGCCCCCAAAAGGTGTTTAAGAAAGGCCGCGGTGGGTGAGCTGACCCAGCGCTCGGTCACAGGCTGGGCTCGATGATCTCAGGGGTATTTTATCACCGAGCGGAGCCCGTGGTTCCCCGGCTCCCCCCGGCCTTTGCCCCCCGGGCTGCCCGCGGTACCTGCAGCAGCTCCTGGCCGCGCACGGCCAGCGCGATGTGCCGGCTCCGCAGGGTGCAGCACACATCCTTGGCGCGGGTGCCCGGCGGGACGCGCACCTCGATGAACACCTCCTCCAGCGTCTGGTACCAGCGGCCCCAGGGCGTCCCGCAGGGCACCACGCCGCTGCGCTCCTCGAA